GAACAACGTGAACACTCACGTGATGATAGCGTCAAAATAAAAGCACAAAGATTTCTTATCAACAAAAATCGCAACAACTGAGGCCTACTAACATCTTTGAAAATATGTCTAATTTCTACCTTGCAGAAACAACGCCAGTACAATTAATTATCTCTCAAATAAGCTTCATTCTTATCTGGTTAAGTAAGCGAGGCCTTCACTGTCAACTCTATTCGTCGGTGCTACTCAGAAAAAAGATTCACAAATTAGAAATTGTCTGAAAGTTCCTTGCGTTCTGTATACACACTTAAACTTCATAAATGAGAAGAATTAGATAGCCCCAAAAAAAAGAAAGAAAAAAAAGAAAAAGAAATTCCTAAATGACAACACCAAATAATATTTTATACCCATGTTGACTCAAGAAATTATCATTAACTTGGCAATATTATTGTGAATAATTTATTTGTTCCTTTGAAAAAAGTGCTGTCAAGAAATGCCAATATTTTACGCAACTAACAGTTTGCTGTAAAGAATAACCCTTTTTTTCTAAATTGAAAGTTAACACAGAATTGACGAAATGATAAGGTTTTTGTTTTCATGTGTACATACTTTTTTAGTTGAAATGTACAAAGTCAAAAGGATTAAACCAAAGCTAAATATCTTTCTTGTACAACTCAGTAATTGAAAAGGCACCCCTAAAACTTGAACGAAAATGTCTCTGTCATTTGTTTTTGTTTTTTCTTAATCAGAATCTAGACTGATAATTGGAAACAAGTTATACTCTTTGTCTCCAGATGATCAAGCTGGCAATTTTTGCCCTCGCTGTTGCCGTGGCTTCGGCCCACACAGACACCAACTGGCTCATCTTCAAAGCCAAGTATAACAAAGACTACAGGTATTTCGTCTAAATTTTAAGTGCCTGTTTCAGAAAGTACGTATTTAACTCATTTGGGTACTTATGCTTGTCTTTAAATTTTGCAAGTTGAAGTAACAGTAACTTACCATTTCAGGCGTTTCTCTACCTTGTTATTTTCTATTCTCTTACACCATCTCTTCCCACTCACAGAATAGATATTTCTTTCTTCTTCTCTCTGTATCTTTCTCACTCTCTCTCTCTCTCCATTTATTAATTTATCTACCCACCTCTCTCTCTTTTTCTCTATATCTCTCCGTTTTTCTCTGTTGCCCTTTTCTCTCTCTCTCTCTCTCTCTCTCTCTCTCTCTCT